AGGCCTCTGGTTGCCATACACACAGGTGAGTTGCATAGCTCGTGGGTTGTACCACTAGTCAGCTAAACACTGCAGAAGATTCACCTGCAGCCTGGATCCTGGCAAGACAGGTCCCCATCCCCCTTCCCTTTGTCCTCTTAGTTTCCAGAGTCTGGGGATGGGTTCCCAATGTTATTTTTTCCTTTAGTTTTTCATCTGAAGACTTATAAATAAAATATAAAGTTTTAAAAATTTACTTCAACCTATTCACAGTAGTGGGGAAAAACCCACCAAAGAAACTTCAAACTTCAGGGCCATAGCCACTGCATTGCAGAGATAATTGTAACAAGTTCTTATTCAATTGGAGAGTAATTATCGTGTTCTAACAAACATATTAAAAAATTCATTATTATTATTTTGGCACTTTTTTGTCAACCAGGTGTTTAGGAAGCTGTTTCAGAAAGAAGCATGTAATGAAATCCCTGGGGTCCTTCCCCACCAGCCGGTAGCAGGAGAACTGCTAATGCTTGGACAAGGCTGGAGCTACCCAGAGCCCGATTCCAGCATGGCCAGCTAAGGCCTCATAACAATATCAGAAGATGCCATGGTTTTATTTATTTTTCATTATCGTCCATGAATATCTCTCAGTTTTCTAATTACTCCCATGAAAGTGTCTGAGCTTTCTCAGTTAAGAAAGATTCAAGGAAGGTTCATGTCTCTAGTCCCTGTTATCTCTTAAGTTTTTAAAACATTATAATATTGTTATTTATGTAAGAGTATTACAAAATTTTCATTCACACTACCATTTTTGGGTTGCTTGACCTTACCACCAAAGTGAGCAGGAGTGCCCAGGAGCATCCCATGTAGCCTTACTAAGCCTTCCCCTCCTCTCTGGTCTTTTTGTGAAGTGGCCCCAGTATTTGGCTTTTCCTAACAACTAAAGTTTCTCTTCCACATATTGAAAATCTCAGCCACACCATGCTATTTCTGGGATTAAAAAAAACCAAAAAACAAAAACCATGAAAAGTGTGGAGTCACCAAGGAGGAGGGGAGAGATGTTCTTTAAACAAACAAACAAGCAAACAAAGAGGAGTCGTTACTAGACAGAAGATTATTTGCTCTTTCCTCCTTTTGCAGTTTCTCTTTCCCCCTTGCTCCCAATACTGCATATATCTCAGATGTGAGTTGCCAGCTGTGGCAAAAGCCATCTCATGATTCACCTCTGGACCTGACTACATGTGCTAGAAAGTACCACAACCATGAGGCAGCCCAGCAAATGCCTGTTTGCTGGCTGATTAAATAATGCAGAACCTCTATTTCTTAAATCCAGGCAGAGCTGCTATCGAGTCAGCTGTTCTGACCTTCAGGTTTTTGAACAACTAGAGTCACAGAGCTACTTGCTGACTTCGGGGATGTTCACGGCTGGGGTCCCTGTGTACATGATTCACCCAAGCCTGGAAAACACAAGTGTGGAGATCAAAGAGGACTTGGCATTATATACCTGGCAACAGCACCTGCTAGTCCGTTCTGCAGGAATTCAAAATAAAGAACAATCTCATCAAGATTTTCCCCCCCCGCCCTGTGAAAGTGGGGAAAAAAAATTGGCTGAGCCAGCCACTTTCTTCTGTGTCAAACTGGTGAGATCAGTATAAAGAATTCACACCACCCTGGGACCTACTTAAAAAAAAAAACCACACATAAAGAATTAAATGAACCAGTGCCCTGGCAAGAGTGGTATTTGGTGGGGAGGTACCTGACAGCAACACAGAAAGCCTGTGGGGCATTTGGTCTTTGAGAGGTTCGGGGCAGCACACGGCCGGGTGCCGTCCCCACGCCACAGAGGCTGTTTGGGCTGGCTGTGCCCAAAACATTAAAAAGGGCACACTGGCTTCATGCCGTGTTCATAAACATGTCCATCAACTGCAACCTTTGGGGAACCGGTGCTACTGAAACCCTTCACTTGCTGAAAAACAAACTGCCATTCTTTACCTTCTAACCCTTCAGCAAAGCAGCTTTTCTCCACCCCAGAATGTGAAATCCACTCACTACATCTGCTACGCAAGCACTATTTAAAATTCACTCGCATAGTGAATTTTATAGCTCATTCATGCTCAGCTCAGAAGCTGCAAATGGCCCTGTAACAACATGTACAAATTTTCAACCGAAGCAAAATTATGCTAAAAACAACTGAATGAGGAGTCCATGAGGCTCGGCGTGATTACATTTTACTGAAAAACGCCTAACCATGTGGGCAGAGAACAAGACAGACGAGACAAAGGTCTGTAACTACTACAGCAATTTTTATTCATTAGCGCAGAGACGGATCAGCAGGCTACAAGACCCCTCAAGAGCACTGACCCTCTTCTCCACACACTGCCCACTTTCTCCTCTTAGTAAGCTGTATTTTTAGGAGCCCCCGCAGAATTTATCATCTTCAAGATATTGATTGTACTAAGTTTGGTTTTTTTTCCAGAAAATTTAGTGCAAATTTTCTGCTCGCTGGCAGCAGCAGTAATAAGCAACCCTTTCCCCGCATGTTCCCCCAACACACACAGCCCACGGGGGGACGAGGGAGCCCGGTCCCAGGGCAGAGATGCAGTGGGCACAGGAGGCCACCGACACAACCAGCCTCCCCCAGTACCATGAATATTCCTGTGTCTCTTACCTGAGCAAAACAGCTCCGGGAGCTCCATATTGCCCTGTCCTCACCTCAGAGCCACACTGTGAAAGAAGAGAGGAGGAAAGGCCCTGGGGCTGCCCTTGCAGCACAGCTGGGGACTTAACACCTCGCACCTGGGGCACACGGCCGGTGGCAACCGGGAGCTGCTGCATGGCACTCTGCTGTCTATACAGAAATACACAGAGTAGCTACCTTGGTTAGTGCAAAAGAGATAAACAAGTCCACATATCTGGGATTTTTTTTTAAGACACCTGGAGAGAAAGTGAACAAAAATCCACAACATGCAACTCATTTCTCAACCAAGCATGAAACATTTCAAAGAGCTCCTTCAAAGCAAACTGCTTGCGAGCCCAAGCACCTCGCGGCTTCGGTCATTAAAGGAGAGCAAACAAGGGTGAGATTCTATAATTTATTACTGTTGCTAAGATGAACACAGATACTTGATACCCAATCGTATGCAGAACTGTAAAAAAATAGTTTTAATACAGTATCAAAATTTACACAAGTGTAGTGTCAAAAGACCAGTGTCCCTCAAATTAGCCCCTGCACATACACACTGCAGGCACAAGTACATGTTTTACATTTTTTCATACAGATATATAGATATATAGGAATACAACAATTGAAGTTTAACTATGCAAACAATATGTATGGAAGAAAACAAGATGTAAAGATAACAGACAACTGTTTGGGCTGGCTTATATATAAGAAATTAGGCAAGAGTGCAATGACTGAAAATGGAAGGCCGGATTCTGCATTTCCAACTCAAGGAGACGGAGTGAACAGGAGTTTTTCCCTGAGAAAGCAATGCTGGATCAGAGGCCTTACATCAAATGGTACCAAGTAAAAATAACAGAAACCAATATAATCACTGCTGCAAATTAACACGCTTTTTCTGAAGACAGTTAGCAGATTTACATCATACTCCTATATAACAAAAGACCGTACAGCAACTGAGCTACATTCCACTGCAAATAGCCCACGAATACAGCATGTTGCAAGCTCAGAGAAAACAGAGGTTCTGACTTTGGCTCAAATCTTAGTAACCAAGAACAAACCAGAAACCCAGGAATTGTTGCATTCCTATTTACTTCTTATTTTTTAAACTTTTTATTAGTTTTTTCGATGCTCAGCTATGGTAAAAAGTTAAGCAACAGCATTCAGTCACAAGCCTGTTGCACATTCATACATGAAACTATCATTGCTTTTAGATATACACAAAATACCTATCGTTGCAATTCAATACACACAACTAATTTTATACGCATAGATAAAAATAAACTAAGCACATCTAGGGCGCTGTCCGGTCAAATCTCAGGCAATCTGAACAAGAGCTTTCTGCCTCATAACAATGAAAGACATGCTCTGAGTATAACAACACCTTTTTCTTTGAAAGAACGCTACAGTGGTAAGAAAAGCTTTTTTTTATAACGCAGTGCAATCTTTTAGATCCTTATAGACTCTTGTTAAATAAATCAGCATGTCTCTAAATTAAAGAGTAGAAATTAGCATCCTGACAACTGGAAAATACTTTCCAAAAAAAACCTCTGATGGAAATTCTGATTTGAGACCTGTAATACTGATATCCAAGTACTCCATTCATTAAAGGGCTGCAAACATCATACACGTCTTCAGAAGATGTGCATCAAAGTGAATCAAAAAGAAAGCTATCTTTACTTTCATTTAGAAAGAAATCGTGTTTCACTACAAGTACTGTAGTTATGCTACACTACTGGCTGGTTAGGAGACTTTATGGTCTTTTAGCACCTCCAAAGGCAGGTATTCTACCAAAGCAAAAAAAAAAAATCACCTGGAAATTGCCTAAGCACCATTAACTGATACTTTACAGGTGGAACTGTGAGTTACTAAGAAGTGACTTTCTCAAAACCACGGAGACCAAAGGCACAGTTTATCAATGTCTCTCCAGTCTGGTGAAAAACCTCTGTTAAATCCAGCGGAAAATTCGTTCAGACTTACTAGAGATTCACTGTAACTAACCAAAATAAAACTTATTTCATGTAACTCCTGCAGAATCCCAATTATCTTTTAGTTAAGATGGAAATACCTTAGTGCTTCTAAATATGGTGTGTTGGAGTGACGACGCGGCGGCTGCATTTCCCTAGCCAGTATACCGAAACAGCAGTATTCGGGGGACACTGACAACACGGCTCCTCTGAAAGACCTCTGTGCAGAACCTCGACTAGTTTCCAGCAAAGTCTCTTGTAGGGCAGACAGACACCCCATCATCAGCTGGGAAGTCGCTGTGGACACAGTCAGTTCTCTCTCTCTCATCAGCAGTTCAAACTCCTCCTCATCAGAGAGGGGACTTGCTCAGGGCCTTTTACATAGGTCCTTTATACTGATTTCCTGACAAGTGTTGTCTAATTCCAGGGCACGATCCTGCAGCATCTCCAAGTTTCCTCCACACAACCTAAAGGGAGGGATGGAAAGAGATCTCATTATCACCAGTTAAGATGTACTGGTGCTCATATAGACATGCATCTGGAAACGCCACACGTTCATTACGCAGACCATGCAGCACAGGTAAGGACAGAGGGGGGGGACACACAACAGAAGAGAATATTTTTCAAGGGATACAACATTCCTTCTGAACACAGAAAGCACATGCTTCTAGGTAAAAATGATTAAAAACAGAGACAAATGAACTAGCACGTGCATCATTGGGATATTTTATGCTTTGGATACAAGACTGAGGGCATTTACAGGCCTCAACTGAAACTTTGTTCAGCTATTTCCCAAACCACATCTCTTGCAGAACACAATTCAGAAGCACAAAGCTCAGTCCAGAGCAGTCTAAACATTTCCAGTTTAAAAAGCACAGAGCCGTTCTCTTTTTCAAAGAATTTACTTGCTCTCTTAAAATCAAGACAGACATTAAACGTGTTTATTTCATTTGTTCTTCCTTGAGATTAGAGGAACTGTGCATGTAGTCACTGTTGTATACATGCTTGTGTGTTTTGTTGAACCAGAGCAAAACCTACAATTTAGTAAGAAATTAGCCTTTTTTTCTTAGTGTGGACTATACATTATAAAGGTTTCCTTCCTTATCCTCACATCTACTCCCATTCATGGTTGCATAACATCCATGTTACAAGTATGGAATTAAAAATGCAGGGAAGTTATACCCCCTAAAAATTAGGAAGGTATTTTATAATGATTTATAAAAAGATTGACTGATCATAAGCAGGAGAATCAGTAGCTTGTGTCATATCACCAGGTACCTCTTCCAGGAGTCACCAGAAACAAAAGTGGCGATTATCACCACAATCCCGTGTATTGCAATTTAAGAATACTTCTGTTTAATCATCATCAACTACCAACCAGCTGAAGTATAACTGCTACTAAATCACTCAAACTCTGGCCCATATGACTGTTAAGAAAGGCAAAAAAACTGTTTTCCATTGTCATTATTTATTATTTGTATTTTAACAGTGCCTAAAAAGCCTGGCAGAGAACAGAGATTAAATTAGCTGGAACTGAATAAACACAAAAGCAGCTGGATCCTGGGAAGTTGACATCCCAAAAAGACAGTTCCTACAGCTCATGAGCAAAGGCAGAACGATCCCAAGGTCCTACTGTTATTTTGTGCAAGAGATAGGAAAATAACCCAGGTCCTGTGAGCCTTTGCTGAAGAAAACCTCAGGATAAGCACAAAGCCCAGAAATACTCCAAGATTGGAAGCGATAAGACTTCAGTGTTACTACATAGGGCCAAACAAATTAACGTTCCTTAGAGGGAACTGTCTTTAACACTGATGGGTGGGCACAACCCAAACCCTGCAGACTTTCCATACAACCAGAATCTTGCAGCCTGAAACCAGAGGTTATCAACAGGAAAATACATGTGGCTTAGCTATGTTTGCTGTACTGTGAAACACTGTGCTATGGCGAAAGCATGAAAAATAGGTTTTCAGTGAAACCTCCCAAATCAGCTGTCTATGGCAAAGCCATCGGAAATGGCGGAGGGTTGGATACAATGAGACAGGCGTTTCTTTCCAACGTTTAGTTGCTGATTTTCTGAACTTAATATTATCAAAAAGAAAGGTCTCTTGAATAGTTTTTGTGAGAAGGCACATTGTACCTACATACGCTTTTCAACAGTTTTTCTGGTCAATAAACATTAGACAATATTTACCAAGCAGCTAATGCTGACACAATGAATAACTAAAAAGGTGACACTTCCCAAAGTCCTTTATTTCCAGCTGAACAAGTGACCCCTGATTGCTCGGAAAGGACAAATGCATACAAGACAGCCCTGGAAAGCCAACATCCTAAGCAGAATTGACAAGGTGGGGTCAAAAGGAATACTCATGCCATTTTTACGCGTGGGAGACGAAGAAATCTTTATCAGCAACCACTTTTGCTTGTGCATACAAGTGTAACAGATACCTGGGTCTCAAAGGCATCACAGTAGTTTTATTTGCCTCCTTTTCAGAAACACAGGATGATCTAGGCTAAATTTCTGCAGATTTATCACCAAACTCTCCTTTTGTGCTGGCTTATGTACAGTTCTTTGCACAATCATGATAGCTGTACATGTTGCTGCCTTCTCCGCACATATTAATGTGGCCCTCTGCATTGTATATGCGTTTTGGATTTGCACATAGGGTTCTTTTAGTCCACTAGTTCAACACCGACTTGTCACAAGCAGCACTAATGGAATTACTTTACGTTTACAAGCACTCAAAAGCAAATGTAATACTTAAGCATTCCTGAATGCGTATTAAATAGTTATGACAGAGTAAAAAGTCCAGTACCAAAAACTTCACTCAAAATTTCAGCAGAAACCTTGACTGAATAAAGGACAGCTATGAGGTTTATGATACAGCCATGGCAATTCATTTCTAGCTTACTTCCAACACACCGGAGTGAAAGGACGGAGAAATCGTCTCCCTGGAAGCCAGGCAGAAACCTGCACCCTAACTGCAGACGAGAGCAGCTGTGTCACCTGCCATCCGCGGTAGCATTCGAGGCCCGTGCGACTCCAGGTGGAGCATGAAGTACTCGTGGAGATCTCTGTGGTCCCTGACCCCTCTTGCCCAGCTACCCCCCCAATCCCATATGGTGTACCCCATCTTCCCTTTGGCTCCCACAGCCCCAGCGAATGTGCTGCAGCCCTATGAACAAAACTTACCAGTAGCCTGAGGAAGATCGTGAAGAACACCCCTTGAGACTTAATCCAAATGTTCCCATACTTTGGAATTACCTCCATGCTCACTAATACATGATAAACTACCTCTAAACCTGCTGCTACATATTGCTACGTTCTCCTAAGGCAATGCAAGTCTATAAATACAAAACGAAACCATTCCCAAATACGTTGTTGATGAGGTGGTACCAATACCATATGCACATCCTGAGGAGAGAATTCCCACATCCGTTATCTTAATAAAATATCAACGTTATCATATAACACCATAAAGTTCCTACAACATGATTTATACATCCAAATTGCATTTTGGTACCAATCAAGATTAGGCACCAAAATTATAGAGCCCAAAGTGAAACTTGTCGTCACTCCACTGTTTTCACAGCCAAAACGATGCCATGGCAAATGTTTCATGTAAAACACCCACAGTGCATAAAGCTGCAGCAAAACAGTGAGCTACAAACTGGAAGGAACTGCAATGAGAATGCAAAAGAAAAGAAACATTATCATTAGTTTATCACAAATCCACTGTACTTTTAACACGGAGTAGATGACTATAAGAAAAAGTAAAACCAGAAAGGAAATAACCAACTATTAAAAAAGTATAATAATATATCAACAGTCAAATCAGACATAGATGATAGAAGTCAGAAAAAAAGGTAGCATTTCAATGCCAGCAGCAGAGCTTTGAATGGCTAGGGAACAGAGAGACAAGGCGGAATACAAGTATATATTTAGCATTTATAAAAATGAATAGAAAAATGTCAAATTTAGTATATTAACATTTTAAAAGTAGCATTACTTACATCACGAGAACTTTTATGGATTACTATTAAATATGTATTAGTTAGAAGCTGCTTTTTTATCCATAAATTGCAAAGGAATAGTGTAGGCAGGAAAATACATAGGTGCCATTGTACAGATGGGGAAACCAGGGCTGCCAGACTTCATCATACTTGCCAAATTTTATTCTGATGAAGGTTAAATTCAAGTCAGCTGAGTCATACAGTACTTTATCCCAGATATATTATCACACGTAGATTTTTCTGATCAATACTAACCAACATGTTAAAATTATAGTGTTCCTAATAAAACAGTAATCACATTACAGAAACAGTAATTGACTTAATTTCCCTATAAAATCTTCAAGGGCATATTGTCAGCATTTAAATGAAATATACTTTGAATCTTCAGTTGTTTCCAGGCTCTATATGGAATATAAAATTGAACACCTTAAACTCATACTGCACATTTCTCCAGCCACAGCTTTTCCTGTCTCACTAAGGTAGTGGCAAGAGTCTTTAACAGCCTGCTGATTTATATTTTCCTGAGTTTCCAAGACATGAGTATGTTTTTAAAAAAAAAAAGAAATTTAATTTACAAATTTGTTTTGCAGTCACAAATATGAGTAGTAGCATATTTAAGCTTTCATAAGTCCTTCCTGAGCATGGGCATACATATATAACTGACCAATTGCATTTAAAGATAATTAGACTGATTACAGTGCTCTGGATTTCAAGGCAGGAGGGATCATTAAATCTTCTTGCCTGCCCTCCTGGGTACCACAGAACACTTACTTTTCTGCAGCAACTCCTATACTTAGCCTCAGACCTTGTCTTCAATTAAAGCATACCTCAATTTAATTTGTAGATGGCATAGTGGAGTTTCCAGTAGGTGACACTGAACCCAGGACAGGAGAACCCAATGCAAGTTTCACGGGTAAGCCTGTGCCCTTGGTTATTCAGGCAGTCAGACCAGATAAGGATCATCATTCTCTAAATATAAACCCTGGTCTGCAAAGCAAACTTACGTGGAATATGCACACCTCTATGCAAAAGCATACAGTTTGGTCACGTACAACTTGCAAAAAGAAACAAACACATCCTGCCACGTGAAATAACTACTTAAATATCCCTAGGGAGACCACTTGCACGTAGGGAATAATCCCATAACCACTGGCAGGGTGAGGAAAATCGCCAGGGCCCAGGCATGGGGACACACACAGGGCAATTTCTTCTTTCAGCCAGCCGGCATGCCGGCTCAGGTCATGGAAGAGCCTTTATCCGACCAGGTGCATGGCAAAGCTCTTCTTTCTCTTTCACCACTGTCTCCACCAGTGGGAGATTCACAGGCAATTTTATTTTTTTTTTTTTTTAAAAGTCTCTTCATTACTCAGGAGAAAAACAACACTATTTTTAGCAATGACCTCCCTCTGTTTTCTTATGGATCTGCCCCTTTAAAATACA